CATACCACATAATCTTCAGCGATATCGAAGATAAAGATGAAGACAGAGACAAGCAAGTTCGTGATCTAATGCGGTTTTCAGTGATAACAAGTCTGTCTATACAAGTGTGAAATCTACTCAAGATTCAACGAACACTGAGAAACCTCAACGTTATTTCAGTGTTAGCGATCAAATGAATCTTGTTGAACAAGATTAGTTTTTATCTTGTCCTTCTACACACAAAGGACAAACCTATACCTCTCAAAAGTAAAGTACTGTACCGAGTCATTCTATTGTCTCCAAACGTGCTTACCTATTTTGTGAAAGACACTGTTCATATACGGTTAAAAGCATGTATATCTGCAACAAAAAACAAGCTCACCCCTTGAAGCTTGCCATATGCTTTGTACCTTCTGAATTACATTTAATGCAATAGGTATAAAAAACTGAGAAGTTCTTCCTTCTCAGCAGTCTTCCCTATCTCTAATCCACTCTAACCAAATGAAACAACACAAGACCTTTTTAACCCTTTTCTTTTAGCAAGTCTTTTTTTTTTTCTTGCTATATGTAACTTGTGTATTTTTTTAATTGTTTAAATAAGTTCTGTATCTTATCTTTTCCACAAACAATCTGTAAAATTTTGTATTGATCTTATTTATTAATAAAAGATTTTTAAAAGTGAAAGTTGTTGTGTCTGTATTCATCCCTCATTCTACAAACTGTTATTTATAAACTCTTATAGATCCGGTTGAGGCCAACAACATGTTTTACCCGAGAATTCAAAATTTGAACAAAATGACAATTTTTCATATATGTAAAATTGAAATTGGTATGAAACTAGAACAAACATGTATCGACCCAAAAAAGTTTATACTGATTAAGTTGAAACAAGGTACACTTGGTTGATACATGATATAGAACTTTACATACCAATTATAATTGATCTATACGGTATTTAGAAGAAAAAATTGGTATTGTACCAAGTCCACCCCTATAAAACCATCTTCAATCCAACCACTAAAACTAAAACATTAAAAACACTAAAAATGGTGGTCCACTGAAGATCAACTTCACACACACTAAAACATATTAAAAATAACCAAAGGACATTTGGTCTAGCGGTATCGTAGCCTTTGGCCTTCTAGGAGGTCAGGGGTTCAAACCTCACCATAGTTGATGAGGGTGTGTGAGTTTATTTGTTGCATTTGCCGTATATAAATATTATATACTTTAAAAAGAACATATTAAAAATATATTTAATATTATAATAATAATAAATTTATTTATTTATTATTATTATTATGTGTTACTAAAACATAATAACTACAATATATAATTAATTTTTATAATTAGTAAATAACCTTCACTTGATTTTAAAATAATTTATTTAATAAGTTGTACTTACACAATTTACTAGTAATCTTGAATTTTAAATAATATGCATCAATAAGTAGTATATCATGCATAAAAAATGATTTTTAAGAATTTTTATCAAATGCTTTATAATATAGTATAAATATATAATTATTAAAAGACTTAGGTGGCGTTTGTTTTTTAAGAGGTGTTGAAGTCTGAAGTCTGAATTCACTTCTGAATTTTAAGAGGTGGTTCTGAAGTCTGAAATCTGAATCAGTCAGACTGTTTGTTTTTACGTCTGAAGTCTGAAATCTGAATCAGTCAGACTGTTTGTTTTTACGTCTGAAGTCTGAAATCTGAATCAGTCAGACTATTTGTTTTTACGTCTGAAATCCGAATCAATATAAACATGAACCTTCACAACGAGAGATGCTTGGACGGAGAGGCAGTCAAAAAATTGTGAGTTGTTGACATCGAGAGCTAAGAACGAGACCCTGAAATCGAGAGCTGAGAGCGAGATGGAGATGGAAGAGCGAGATGGAGATGGAGAAATCGAGACTTGAGAGCGAGATGGAGATGAAGATGGGATGCGGCTCTGAAATTGATTTCATACATAGGATTCCCACTTAATTTTAAGAGGACGGTAAGAGGTAAAAAAACTCTTAATTTAAAAAAAAACAAACAGTCTGAAATCACTTATGTTTGACCGATTAAGAGTTAAGAGACAATTAAGTAAAAATTTTAAAAAACAAACAGGCCCTTAATCTTTTTTAATATATGACAATCCTCAAAAAGAACGCTAACTGCCATCGACATCTGATGCCATCCAATAAGGGAGACTTCCTTTGGCAAAGATTTTACCAAAAAGCAGAACACTACTGTTAGTAAAATACTGATCCAAGCAAGTGCAATAGTAACCACCTTTTTTAACCTTCAAATATAAAAGGCCAAATTTGAACACTTCTATTTATTTTAGTTTTTTAACGATAGGTTGGAGTTAAAAACACATCTATTTTAATGTTTGGTCAGGGGCGGAACACGACCGTTGTAGTCTGGGGAGCCGAAATATAATTTTACAAAAATTTAGAGATCCAATGATATGCACACAACTTTTTTTGTTCTTTTTCCTATGATCTAATATTAAATTTTAGAGAATATTTGTTAAATGGAAGATTAAGGAGTCGTTTACCAAGTTCTAACAAGTCATATTGACTTACCGGATGAACATAACAAGAATCGAGAATCTTACACGTAAGGATCAAGAGTCTTACCCGCTAGTGTTTAGTGGGTAAATTGTTGCATATGATGTCATTTTGATGGAGCACAAATTTTAGCCAGCAAGGTAAGTGATAGTGTCAAATATTACTTGTAAGTGTTTATCAGATAAATGTTTGGATAAATGGCCTCTAAAACTCAAAACCTTTACACTATTAACTGAAAGATAGTAATGCAATTTTGTTATGTTTTTTTATACTATTATGAACTAATAAAAACAAAACATTTAGATTAGTAATATAACACTACATATAAAATTAAACATTATTTTTCATATTATTTAAAAACTAATTCTTATATATAATTTACATTAATAATTTAATGTATAGTGCATGGAAGGGAAAACGAGAAATTGAAAAATGCAACATATGAGATTCAAGACCTTGACCTTAAGGATATAGTCATAAAATAATAACCAATTGAACTGTTAACACCATATGTTATACATAGTTCATGAACTTTATTTGAGTCAAGGTAGTGTTTGGTACGCAGACTGAATGGAACATGACGGGACGATACGGGACAAGACTAATTGTCTGTCCTATGTTTGGTACGACTAGGAGAGGATAAGACAAAACTATTAAAATGATCATATTACCCTTAAATGTTGTTCAATGTTATTTTATACCATATAATGATTGTAAAATGATAACAAATCAACCAAAATATTGTCATTTTAGTGGAACAAGAAATATCAAGATTTGTACAATTAAAATTAAAAATAGTCCCACCTTGTCCCATGTTTTTTTTTTGTCCATGACATGCTAAACATGAGACTATTTTTTTTGTTCCGTTCTGTCTCATATAGTCTGCATACCAAACGCACCCCAAAAGCCTCCATGGGGTTCCGTCTCTGTGTTTGGTTGGATTAAGGATGCAAGTAATAATATTCCTTGGGGTTAATAACGATAATTAATTTTTATAAGAAACATCGAATTCTGTAAATTATCAAATAAATATGAGAACTCTGTAAATGATTTATTTACAGTAACACGAAATATATCATAAGTTTATATTTAAATTTCAATTATAATAAAAAATAGTAACCAAATTGTATCCATATTACCCTAAAATCCTTTTTTTTTTCTTCCTATTTTAAAATATTTTGCAAATTTATTAAATAATTATTATCTTTGTACAATCTTATACTATCTGTACTATATTATAAAACATAAAAACTCTTAAAATAATTTATTATGCATGAAGTACTGTTTATTAATTGCATATTACTTAAAACTCAAGATTACAAGTAGATTATGCGTAAGTACAACTTGTTAAAGCTCCATATCTGAATTCATATAAATAAATGCAGATAAACATAATCAAATACAATACATCTCATTTTAAATATAAAAAATCTAAAATATAATCAGGATAATCATTGAGTTCTAACAGAATACTTAATTATTATCTTTATAAAATGTTATATTATTAAAACAAAAAAAATTATTTCGTTATTAAACTTAAATA